TTTGTGTTTGAAAATAAACACAACCTGCACCATAATAATATAGCAAGATGGTGAATTTAAATATGTTACTAAATGTTATAAAAGAAAAAAAAATTCAACAAGTTTGTGGTCTTTCACTTGAAAATACTTTCAACTGCCTCTCCAGTTAGGTAAAAGCTAGCACCACAATGGTTCGAGTTAAAGCACATTTCTTTCTGCTTTCTTATTGAACCTACAGCTTTATTTTGCCTCTTCATCATCTCTACCTTCTGTGCCTCCACCTGTTTTTCTTTTCCCTGTTACATTTCATCATTTTCACACTCACTCCTTCTCTTCGGTTCAGTTGTTTGTCTTTAGAATGCTTTTCTTTTTCATCTCTCTTCTTTGTCATCGCCCTGTCCTCTGCGGTGTGTTTTTGTCTCTTATGGTACTCTCCAGTTACCTGATGTTTTTGTTCATTAATCTTCATCAGTTTGTACTGTTGCCTGTTTATCCATTTGGTTCACCTCTCTGTCTCTCTCTGTCTCTCTCCATCTCCACAGGTCCATGTGTTGACCCTCTCTCCCTTTCACTCTCTCCCCTATGCCTCCTAAGGTCTCTCTACCTTGGCCTGCAAACATAGTGGACCTCAGGGAGGTTCTGCCCTCCTTCTGTTCTGCAAGGGCAAATTACATTCACATTCATTCAGCCAATTTTTTTTATGCATTTGGAAATTTGACTTTTTGTGTCTGAGCTTTAGTCACCTAAAAGATTCTGCATAAGACACCAAGACAACACATTAACTCAAATCAGAAGCGTCTTGGATGAACCAAGACCCAAGCCTTTCACCTTACTGCAGAAATGTGCAGAGACACTGCATTGTTAGAACAACTAGAGAGGACATGCATCTACATATACAACAGGGCCAACACAGTCAGAAATAGTGGGCACAAACTGGTGGAAACAGGAAGCAAACACAATATTTAACAAAAATTGACAAAGCTCCTCTTTTACAACTGTTTACATTCAGTTGTGGCTAATAAGAACCAAAATCTGTATTTGCATTGGTAAAAACATCAGCCAAGTCTCTAGTGCACTGCCAACATGTGATGGTGTGTGTGGTGCTCTAGTCACAAGTGGTAGTGGTGGCAAAATTCCAGGTGAAAAACTTCAAAAAGTACAACAAAACAGGTGTGAGCAGAATTCAAACACTAAGACAAAGACAGGAAATACTTTAAAGCACAAGAAGAGCAAATCAAGCTAGCCAAATGACACAGGAATGACCACTTACAGCAAAATGTTGTGGCACTGAATCCATGTGGAGCCTGAGCTCAAATACTGCCCTTTCTCAATTGGAGACCACGCCCCCAGTGCTCTGGCTCATCAGCTCTGGATTCAGTGCAGCTGTGGAGAGAAGACAACGGCAGAGTCAACTGTCCTAGGACTGAATTAGTCCAAATATACATATACAGTATGTAGACCTGTCTTAAGGAGGTTAAGACTCTGGGCTAAAATCACTGCATCACTGTCTCAGATGAGGAATAAAAAGACGGCTCATCAATATTTATTTCCACATACAGTAATATGACTGTTAAAATATGATTGTATTCTAATTAATTGCACCTCACTTCTGTGCTAGTCCTTCAAAAACAAACGTCCTGAAGTTCATATCCATGAATAGAGTTTATGGTTGAAACTGTAAAAAAAGAATCCAATGCTGTTTTATTATTAATCATTAACATTAAACCCAACACTGTTTGCAGTTCCTGCTGCACTGAAAATGAAGCACAGCAGTGAGAACAGGTCAGTGTGTAATGATGCTGACGTGAGTGAACTCTGTGTGGCTGCTCCTTAACCTCCCTAAGGTTAAGGTTGAACTTTATTGATCCCACACTGGGGAAGTTATTGTGAAAATGATATGCTCAGCTATTACAACAATCGCTCTTTGAGCGTGAGTCAACTCGGGTGACAAAGGATTAGAACGTCTATCCTCAAACAAATTGATTTGACATATAGTTTTTTTTATTCAACCCATCCTACTGAGCTGCTGAGAGAGAAAGATTATGGTGCAAATGTAGCAACAAAGACATTAATCTCTGTTTCAAAATCTTCTCAAACTCGCATCTCCACTGTCAAAACCACAAGTGAGAAATCGGCTAAAGCTTCACTTATTCAGTCATTTCTGAAGCTTAGATATCACCACCACCACCATCACTATCATTATCACCACTACCATCATCATCATCATCATCATCTGCACCACCCACACGACTCTGTCTCTCACTCATAACCACATTCATGGCCCGGGGCCAGCCATCACACTGCTGTATGCATCCAGTTTATTGGCTGTGTTTACACAACAGCGAGACAAAGCCTGTGGATTTTCTGCTGCAGAGACAGACCCTCACTGATAATTACCCCTCAGGAGGGGGTAATTATGCACAGATAAAACTGAAGGAGCCCGTTGGAGTCACATGGTTACACCCAGACCGGTCAGTACCACGTAAGAGTCATCACCGCGTCGACTTGCTTTCACTTGTCAGTTAATTACTCAACAGAGAGATAAACAGATGTGTTCAACTGATTTGGAAGATGGGACATTTCTGTGTGCAAGGTTCCAAGGCTGTTTAAAATCTGTGAAAACAAAACAATATACAACAAGGGGTGAAAAAGACACGCCATAAACAGACATGTGATTATGAGATGTAAACTATGCAAAAAGGAAAACATGGGACTTATACTGATGGGACATAGACTTCCACATCCATTACTGGGTATAATGGGAATCCTTAGGGCTATTAATTTAACCAGGGACTCACTGGCATGTCTGGAATTGAACCCCCAACCTTCTGGTTGTAACAAAAAAGCTGCAACAGAAATTGTTAAATTTACAATTCACACACAATTTACAATTTGTATTAAAAAAAAACTAAACAAAACTTTAATACAAACAATTGATTTTGTTGTTGGAAAATTTTGAAATTTAAGTTCAGACTTTGATCATTTTTTAATGCTCAACTTTTCTGTATTCCTATGTCCATTTTATAGCTTATGGCTGTTTTTTACCCTATACTGTGTCGATTTTGACCTGAATATTACACACTTGATGCGTCTCTACCAAAATCTGTTTCCATTTAGACCTCTGTCTTCAGCTTTTGTATATTGCACCCTAGCCCTTTGCCCTGTTCCCTCTAAAAGTTTTGTAGACCTTCCATTAAAATTGACCTTCTCTGAACCTTCACATTTCTTTATATCAGGTGACAGTACCAGGAACTGACAGTTTGGCCCATAAATGTCCCTTTAAATTCAATCATTTATTATCATTTAAGTGTTCTGGTTGTATTCTGATAGCGACATTTAGAACTGAGTGTAGAAAAAAATGTAGAGCAAATTGATGACGTTTAATGATTAAAAATGATTGTATACCCTGTGTTTTCTCAATGTATATTCAGCTCTTAATGATGCACAAAATATATTTTTTACTAAGAGTTAATATGATATAAAATAATAAAACATAATACAATGAAATAAAATAAAAAAATATAATATGATAAGTATTAAACGTGATTTTTTTCTTGTTGTTTTTTTCTGTATACTAAATAATTGTTTACATGCATTGCAATATTATACTAAGTGTTTAACTTCTATTTATGCTCAGTCACATACATTTAAAATGAAGGATGTTAATTGCAGGTATGTTTTACCCACACATACTTTTTACTTTTTGATTTCTCTTTAAGTCCTTCTCCAGATTCCAGTTATTGCTCAACTCACTCCACTTTTTCAGGCTCTTCAACTACAGCAGAGAGGATCGGAGAGTCTGGACAGTCTCTGGGCTCTCTGTCCTCCCTGGTGCCTTCAGGTGTTCTCAGAGTCTGGTCTTCATCACTCTGACATGAGGGCTTTAAAAGCAAAGCTGGAGCGACATATTTTTCTCATCAATGATCAATCGCTCCATAATAAGCTTTCAGGATCTGGTAAATCAAGTGATATGCAGGGCTTAGACATCTGCTCCTCCTCTGCAACCTTTATCCGGCTTTAGAGATATCTGCTATTTGACAGGAGACCTGGACCAATCACAGGACAGTTCAGAGGGACAGTGAGAGACAGGTGACACCTCTGTCTGGCTGCTCTACACCTGCATAAACACATCTCTCAACATGTATCCCTTTTTAAAAAGATCCTGGCTACTACAGAGTTCATTATCCATGCAGAATAATAAAGGTGGATGAAGTGTGCATATTTTGTTCATTGTTTTGGTGGAATAAATATACTGTATATGTGTTATAAATAGATGTTGTCACAGTGGAACATCTTTAAATCCAGGATCATTCCGGAATCTATCTTCCGCTATTATAAATGGTATCTAATTAACAATATAATTAAAGTGAGTCAGAATGTCTGTTGATATTTAACAACAGGATTAAACCCACAAATGTACAATATTTAGAGGAGTAGATTTCAGCTGTTATTGAAAAACAAAGTTAAATAGTTTGTCTGCCTTGGCTACCGTAGAATAAAGACAGTCAGATATATCTTGGCTACCGTAGAATAAAGACAGTCAAGACAGAGACAGATATATTTGATAATAATATGTTAAAATAGTTATTATCCCTAGAATAGTGAGAACAGATGTCAATATACTTTCCTCCTGACTTAGTCTTTGTACCTCAGAATCAGATTCCTTGTCTGATGGTTCCAGCTTTAAATCGCATGATCTTATAATGCAATCTGTTTTTATCTAAATTGGATTGTAACAAAACTTGTACCATTTGAAAAAAAAGAAAAGAAAAAAGAAAAACACTGTGTATATGTAGCTGTCCCCACATTAGCAGACCACCCTTGGTCTTCTTTTGTGGCTTGCTCAATGGCACATTGGCATACAGTCCAGTTAACTTTTTGGTACCGATCCTACCTACCCTCCACCCCCACCACACACACACAAACACACACAAACAGAAACACACATTTTCTGTCTCTTCTCTGGTACAGGCTCAGTCTTGGCCAAGGCCCAAAGGCTTTAGCCCACAGGCAACAGGGGGAGAAGAGCCCACAATCTGGGCACATGGAGGTGTGTGTGTGTGTGTGTGTGTGTCAGGATCAGAGGAGGGACAGTGTGTGTGGAGTGGGTGGAGATGGGACTCCTGAGGGTGTGTTGAAGTGTCTCAACGGCACTTAGGTTCAGAGCCTCTGAAGGCACTGAAGTTGAAGTCAGAACACACTCCTACAGCTGCTGTGTGTGTGTGTGAAATCGTATCTATGTATGAGTGTGGAATTTTTACTCCCATTTTGTTTGAGTTTCTTTTTTTCCTGTCATGGACTTCTCACTTGGCCGCTATGGGACTACGCCGGCTGTCGGCGTCCTGTCAGAGGATTTTTAAAAGTTCCTGAATCGAGAGAGAGAGAGAGAGAGAGAGAGAGAGAGAGAGAGAGACAGATATTCCCGGACAAGTCTCCAAACTCAACCTCAGGTGTGTTTTCCGTTTTATTCCTTGTGCACAGTTCTTTACTCAACCTGGCACTGGTGTTTATAGTGCACAGTTACACCTCTATTTTGTATTAGATTACCATTAAACAAAGTCCTGGAGTGTATATACACAACAGAAGAAGCTCCAAGAGCAAAACTGAAGTCAACATGAAGCAAACACAAGCCTTATTTCACTTCACATTTTACACAACAGTATTGTAACTTTTCTTATTTAAGGTGGGATGTATAGGAATTTATCTTGAATGACAAAATGTCTTTGTTTTAATTAGTGACAACATGCAAACTCATATCAGGGAAATCTACTTCAGGAAGAGTTTGAGGTGACTGATTCTTTAAGGTTGTTTTTACGAGGTGAGAAAATGTTATTTGCACGGAAGAGTAAAGTTAAAGAGTGGCAGTGGAGGCACGTCATTGCACGCAGCTAAGCTTTTCACATTTCCAGGTTTTGGCCAATCCCCCCTCCCTCTCTTTACGTCAGAGTGAATCCATATCTGCATTGGAATTAAATTGCCCAATCTTCTTTCTCTGCAGACATGTCACGACGATGACATGTTCCCAGGTCTTGGCTCTAAATGTTTGTCACTTTTCTGGATGATGTTCCTTAGCTGCAGCGCTGTTTTTCTTTCCGCTCCTGCAAAAATTACCCAGGTCTCCTCTCCACAGTGAGGGTTTTCTTTAGTTACATAATGAATGATGGCATTTGTGATGGATGGACTCTAAGACATTCTTAGAGTCGTTACTTCACCCCTGTAAAGGTGACTTTCCATAATGGAAAATGACATGCTGGTGCTGAAAGGAAAGATTTCACACTGGTTATACTTTACCTGAAAGTGAATTTGAGAACTTTCTAATGATTGATGCTTTTGACATAAGTTGGCTTTGGTAAATTTGAAACCCCAACCATCAGGTGTATCTGTGATACATCAAACATGTAAAACATCAGAAGAACATGCAGATTAAATAATCTGGTCCTTCCTGATATCACAGCTGTTTGGAGAAGCTAAGGTTAGGCCCAGTTGTAGGTGAAAGGCTGAATGAAGTGCCCGTCATAAAGCAGAGATGGGGTAAATAAACTTTGGTGCAATTAGGCCTAATGACTCAGTGTCGAGCGGTGCAGAGGAAACACAAGGGAAATGAAAAAATTAGCCAGTGAAAGTACGGGAATCAATGTAACGAGAGATTGATTCACAAATGAATAAACAACGCCCATGTTTTATATACTGTCTACAAACAGATATGGAAGAATACTGGTTACATATGTCACGAAACCCGAGTAAACTCGTGCATTTGTCCCTCATCTCTTTACTTCAGTTTAAAACTTCAGTTAGAGGACACTGCATGTAATCATTCCATTAAAGTTAAAGCCTTAATATCATTGACTTGCAGTAAAGCATATACTGGGTGGGGATTTCAACACACCCTCTCAAAGAACAAACAGCGCAACAAGATTGAGCGAATCAAAATATGTGAAACTGTAAAAAAAAAAATGAAATAATGCGAAGGAAACCGGTGGAGTGTTGGAATCATGAGTCAGTGTTGAGTCATTTAACAGCACAAAAGGAAAAGCAGCAAAGAAGATAGGAGTGCAGAAGAGTGTGTGTGGTGTAAATCCCCTATTTATGGGCCACTTCAGGTAGTGATTCAGAACAGGCTGCTCATGTCTGGCTCTGGCAAAAAACAGTGGCCCTTAAATAGACTGTGAAATAAAAAATATGCCCTAAACAAACATGGACACTCGAAGGCCAATGAGTGCCGCTTTTAAACAGTGTACACTCCGGATGGCACACAAAATGATCTATATTTTAACTTTGTATCAAACATCCAAACCTCAGCTCTTTCTATCCGACACCCAGGCCCCCACACTCTGGTCCGTAAGGAGCTGAGGAGTGAAGGACAGGCCATGGCTGCTAAAAAGGAATGTTACAAACACATTTCTGACGCTCCCTGCGATTATTTCTTTTTAACAGTCAAGCCCAACTGACCTGTGTGTGTGTGTGTGCTGAGGGAGTCAATGGTGGGGGAGGGGGGTAACTTGAAAGTACACCCCCGACCTCTCCCATTAACCTCACACCTTTCTAGCATGACTTGACTTGACCCCTGAGTTTGGAGAGGCTCAGGTTGTACAGTGCATTTTTACAGGAGTGCAGTTGAACCTTCATGGTCAACTACTGTCTTTACCCAGTGTAGAAACATCAGAGAAGAATCGATTCATGAATCTACTTGATTTATAGCTAATTTTATTAGAGCAGTTGGCTGCAGCTGATGAATACTTTTCAGAGTAGGATTTCTGATACGTTAACTCTTAGCCAAAACCCAAAACCCACAAAACCCAAACCCACAAACTCAACTCAACTGTCACAGAGGAACAAAAACAACTAGGATATTTTCATTCATATGAAGCTAAAATGAGAAAAAAAAAACCTGTTCGTAGTTGTTTTAAATAATCATCACTCAGAAGTCAGAAGTAAATTAAACCGCATGATTGTAGGTCAGAATAATAGAGTTCCGTTCCCAAAATTAACTTCTTTGAACTTCAACATTTGCCCAAGGAACGATTATTAAAGCTGAAATGTTCATAAATCGTCTGCAACTCAATGGCTCAATCACTTCAAGTTTAAATGTATCTAAATAACATGGGTATATTTTTTAGTATTTACCGCCATTCAATATGTTATTAAATTGTTTGTGACAATCATATGTGCTGTTTTTTTTTTAAACCATACATTAGATTGGACTGGTATAGTCATCAGGTTTAATATGTGTCACTATTGTAGGATGTACAAGTTAAACTTAATTTAAAAATCATAATAACAAATCGTAATAACTATTTTCAAACAGTATCAGATTTTCATGAATCAGCTAAACATTGAGTTGATGTTTCAAATCCAAGCTGCAAATGATTTTAACATTTTAGCACAAGATGTGGACTCAAAGTGAGGATATGTTAAAAGTGTTTTTATAGCAGTGGGAAAAGGCAGTTAGAACGGAGAAAGGAAAAGCAGGAATTAAACCCTGCGTTTGTTATATGCTTTAAACGGTTTATATGAGGAGTTAAATAAACCCAAACCCTATTTTCAAAAAGCCCCAAATGAACATGAAACGATGGGGCGTAGAGCTTGAATCTGTTTTTATTGACATCTGTTTAATTTCTGCCACCGCATCGTGTAGGTTTGCACGAATTAAATTTTTTATGATCGTGTGCTGTGGCTCAGAGCGACCATCAAAACAACGTCAACAGAAGCTGACACAGTAAAGTTTTTACAATTATGGCCGAGTTAGGGCTAAAAACCAATCCAGTTAACAACAAACTCTAAACCCTGTGTCTCACCCTCTCTCTCCCTCTGTGTACGGGTGTGTGATGTGGCGGCTGTGGAGTCAAAAGGCTGCAGCTGACATCAGTCAGTCAACCCTGGTCTGTTGTTAGTGAAACCCAATGGCTCTTGTAAATTTTCACCCAGGGTTTCACAACTGATGTTACAGTTGATTTAGGTACATAGTTGAAAAAACTGTTCATAAATGTGGCTGCTGAAAACCTACGCACACAATATTAATTTCAATCTAGAACTATAGAATATATTTTCTAAGCTCAGATCTTATATGTCTTGATAGAAACAAAGACCTCTTTAGACCAAAGTGTTTATAATATATAAATCTGTTCTCCGAGCATTGTTGTTATATTAATGGCATAAGACTATTTCTGGACATTTAACGCAGTCAGCTGGTTACCAAGCAATGAGTCAGAGGAGTTGATTGCAGGTTTTATTCTTAGCACTTATCGTTAGCACTGGGGAGGAAATTACCTTTTCAAGAGTTTCAAGAAAGAGTTTTCCAGCACTTGGACTTTTGCCTGAGTAGGGGTATGCATTGCAAGTTGTATGAAACTTTGGCATCTTTTTTGGCTTTATTTCTATCCAGGTCTATCCAGAAAAGGGCAGACTGTCCTGAGAAAAGAGACTGCAGGGTTTTTCAAACCTGCTGTAACATACCCCTTTAAGACAGACTTTAGAGAAGATACAGACAGATCATTGTAATTAGAGTTTATCCTGGCGGTTTCGGAGCATTAGCCTTCAAAGGTTCAACAGAATGTGATAGTGAAAGTCTTTTCTGGATTTGGTCAGAACTGGCCTTTTTCATGACGACAGGTTAACAACCTCCAAACCAGAACAGGACACGGCTGATAACTCATCCCAGTATTACCACAAGGCTCTGGGTAAATGTTGTTGATGTATCATTAAGGTCAAAGGCCTTGGCCTTTTACCCGCCTTAGCACCTTTCAGACTGGGAGGGTAGGCATCGTAACCCCAACCTGACATTAACCTGTTGTCAGATCTGAAATTACACTCCGCTCCAGTGGAATTAGCTGTGGAACTTTCAGCAGGTGGAGTTGTGATTGATTTAAGCAATGCTTTCACTGAGAGTAGAAATAAAGTCTGACTTTAACGACTGGCTTAGTTTTTTCAGCAGGCTCATGTCGGATGCACAAACCAGCCGCACATGAAAACTTTTTTGGAAAAATATTTTACTCAGCATCCAATGATATGGGAGTGTATTTGAACTCTTACCCCTGTTCCAAAGTCCAAAGAAAAAAATCAATAGAAATTCAGCACCTCCTGGTCTGCTGTTGCCTTGGGTTGTACTTTCATACATTGAAGTAAATATAAACAAACCAGTTTATTCAACAGAAGTACAAAACAACACTTTAAAGCATCAGACAAATGGTTTTTATCTGCAGTAACTACAATATTTTAATGGAATTTGATAAGGAAGCGAGAGTATTTCTGTGGCTGATTTTGACATCAAGGATGTATAAATAAAGATACTGCCTATAGATAATTTAATACTGCACTGGTCACATTCCACATAAGTGGAATCAGAATAATCTATAAAATTGCTACAGCTTGTCGTACTGAGGTCAAAAGTCACAGTCATTTGCTACTAACAATATTCAGGCAGGAAGTAATGAAACGAGAACGGAGGGCTTGG